GCGCCGTCGGTCCCCGGGGGGCGCCGGGCCTGCCTGTGGCCAGCGGCCCGGGACGCCGGCGCTTCCCGCAGGCGCTCATCGTGGGCGTGAAGAAGGGCGGCACGCGCGCCCTGCTGGAGTTCCTGCGGCTGCACCCCGACGTCCGCGCGCTCGGCTCTGAGCCCCACTTCTTCGACAGGTGCTACGAGCGCGGCCTCGCCTGGTACCGGTGAGCGCCCTGGCGGGTGCCTTCCAACAACAGGGGGACGCGCCCCTGGGGGTCTCACTGCGGGCGCGGGGGGTGGGGCAGGTGTCCGGAATCCGGGCTGAGACCAGCCTGGGTGTGTGTGGGGGGGGGGGCGAAGCTTGACCCCGCGGACGCGGGCCCCCCAGCATTGGGTTTTACGGAAAGGAGGAGCGGTCACTGGCCGGGGGCTCCCAGAAACTTTGAAACTCCAGGGGAAACCCTGGTTCAGGGCTGCTGAGGGGTCCCCGCAAGAGTGGCGGGGAGGAGTTCCCATCCTACACCGGTAGTTTGAAGCTAGTGGGGTTTGAGGGGCATTAGAAATGCTTTATGCTTATCCGCGCTTCCCCACTGGATCACCCTGGGAGAGCATGTCTGACCTCCGGCCAATCACCCCAAGAGTTTTCCCTGTAGCCTCCTAGAGAGCGTCTGTTTCCTCCCCCAGAACCCCAATCCCGAGAAGAGGAGTCCTTCTCTGTGATCCTGGGGGTCCGGAGAGAGTCACGGCTTTACTTAGAAAGGAGGAAGGGGTGGGGATTGGGGCCCCAGCCTCACTCAAGGGGCTCTGTAGCTGTCCCGCTGCCTGTCTGGCTGGCCTTGGGGTGCTGCAGTAGAATGTGGGGGAGCACCCCCACTCCGGCCCCCGCTGAGGCAGCGAGCGTGAGGCCCTGCCCTCTGCCTCCTTCGACTGTGCACAAGCCTGCCTGTCCCTTCCTGCGGGGAAGCGAGGGCTTACAGATGGAGAGTGAGTCACCCCACTCCCCGCAGCTTTCACCTCATCCCCAAACTATGGGGCAGAGAGGACCCAGCGCAAGGTCACCTGGTGAATTAATGGGGAGTGGGGGGTGGCAGGACCTGGGCTTTTGACTCTCAGATGTACCAGTTTCCTCTTCCCAGATACCAACCCCCCACCACCCCTTCCCCTTTGTTATCTTTGCATTTTGCACTGAAACTACTCACGGGTTTGGAGGGGCCCCATTGAGAACGGGGGTCCTGGTTCCTGAGCTCTGAAGGATTACTGCTGTCGAGGGTCTTAGGGAAGCCAGATGGTGAGGGGAAAGTGAGTCTATCCTTGGACCCAGTTGGCTGAATCCCCCAGCATGCCTGGTGCTCAGGGAGAGACGCTACCCCACTCTGACGGTGCTGCAGCATCCAAAAGCATCCCTAATCCCGGGATGCTGTTGATGCTGTTGCCCTGCAGAGGGAGAGGAAGAGGAGGAGGAGAGAAGGAGGGGGAGGAGGAGGGAAGGAGGGGAGGGGACAGGAAGGAGGGTGGAGGACACGCTGTTAGCTATAGCAGACTTCAGAGCCCATCACTGACCCCATGAGCTGTAACTGCAAGGAGCTGTGGGGAGGCACCGGGCTGGACTCAGGAGGGGCTGCTGCAGAGGCTGGTCTCGAAGAGCCTGGGGTCCGGGGGGGCTGTGCAGGCCCTCCCTGGGTGCATGCTCCCGCTCTGGAGAGGACGAGGCATCCTGGAGGCAGGGGGCAGATTCTCAGCTCTGGGTAGGGAGCTCCTGGGACACTGGGGTGCCTGGCGTGGGGCCCGGGGGATTCCGGAGCATGTCTGGTGGAGAAGAGACTTTGCCCTTCCTCCTTTTTAGAGCCACCTCCACTGGGGGGAGGGGCGGATGCAGAGGAGGCAGAGGGTCAGGTTCCAGTGGCCTCCAGGAACCCAGAGCTGTCAGGGCTGGCGAGCACTGACCCCTCTGGCCAATGCAGGCTGGCTGAGCTTCTGAGGTACATGTGTCCAAGTGCCCTCAAAAGGGCTGTGGCTGTGTAGTGACGTGTGGAGGTGGGCTTGGTATTCCCCCCGGTGGCCCTGTGCCTCTGGACCTGTCTGTCCTTTCAACCGGCTGTGAGGATGCACTGAGCCTCTGAAAATGCCCACCCGCCTCAGTTTCCCCCAGTGCAAAGAGGTCGGCCAGCCCCTGGGCGTGGTCTGGCCGTGTTATCTGCTCTCAGGACCCTGATTTGGACCTCCAGTGCAGAGCCCTGTTCTGGGTGGGGAGTCAGGGCAGTGTGTAGAGGAGGAGCAGCTAGTGCCCCCAGTTGAATTTTTGGGACCCCCCCCCCCCCCCGCCTTGCTCACGGGGCTGTGACCAATCTCATTCCAGGCAGTGACTTTGGTCCTTCCCATGGACTGGGCAGGTAGGACCTGCTCAAAGTTGATTTTGGCCCAACCGTCCCCTCTCCTTGGGCTCTAGGAAGTTCATCTCTCAGGCTTCTGAGGGTCCTCTGTCTTGGGGACTGCGACCTTCTAGGGCTCCCCAACTCAGCATTTGTTCCTTTATTCACTCACTCTGTTTGGCAGGTGCTGAAGTCACACAAACCCCTCCAAGTCTCAGTTCAGGGAGGAGTGCCCTATCTAGGGGCAAGTGGGGGCTATACTTTGACCACAGTGTTTTGGAAAAGCGGGAGGAGAGGGGGAGGGGTGCAGGGGTGGGGGACACCCCCCCTCGCTCCTGGGGCCCAAGCAGGAGCAGTGAAGGAGGGGTGTGAGTATGTGGGGAGAGGGACCCCAGCTTCTGTGGGACTTATCTGTCCCTGCTCACCCGGAGACAGAGACCCCTGTGGCAGGGCACTCAATGCCCCCAATCCCCCAACACTGCAGGGTTCCACCTGGAACTGGAACTTGTTTCTGCTGGGTCCCAGGCAGGCTGGATGGGGCCCAGGAGAGGTGTGGGACACAGAGCGAGGCCCAGACAGAGGAGGGAGAGTCGCCCAGGGCTGGATTGAAGCCGCAGGGAAATGCAGACCAGATGAGCTGTGGGGGTGGTGCGTGTGTGTATGTGTGTGTGTGTGTGTGGGGTGTCCATAGAACAGCTTGTCAGATGTTTGCTGTGTGGGGGTCAGTATCTTGCTCCTCGTATCCTCCTCGGTCTCTGCCACCCCACAAAAGCCCCCATCCCTACCCTACTCTGAGCTCTGGCTAGGCCTGGGGAGAGTAATTGATCCCAAAGCTCTTGGAGCTCAAAGCCAGTTTGCGGCAGGAGTGGGCCAGGAAAGTCTGCACCGCCACCCTTGTTCTGAGCGAGTGGGGAGGCTCCCATAGCTAGCAGCCCATTCAGCCCACCGGACGCCCCTGGGCCCCCGAGGTGGAGTCAGGGAGCCGGTGGCATGTCCCAGACTCACACGTGTGCACCCCCCATCCCACCACCAGCACCCTCCAAGCTAAGCGCCCTGACTCGTGGGTCTGTGCACCTGTGTGCCCACCTGACCTGGGTGTTTTGGGGGTTTGAGCAGGAAGAAGAGACTCCCAGGGGCTTGAGACCCTGGAACCTGCAACCTGAACCCCACCTTCCTGGCTGGGGCCAGTCGTGGGGGGGCTGTCAGAGGGGCAGGGGGACGGGAGGCAGGGCTAGCTGGGCGGAGGCCTCCCCTCCCTCTGCCTCCCACAGATCCCGGGAGCCTCTGCCTCTGTTGACCTAGTTCCCAGCCCTCCCTCAGAGCTGTTTGCTCAGCTGGCCGGGCCGCGCCCTGCCCACCGCACCCTGTACTACCTGGCTGGCAGGTGTGGCTGTGGGACACTGGTTCAGGACGGGCTTCCCCAGGCTTGGCGTGGTCAGGGGGCCGACTCCCCAGAACCTTGGGATGGGGTCCGTGCTCCCCTCCCCTGGTCAGCTGCAGCCTTGCACGTTGGGGTCCAAGCCAGGTCTGGGAGGCCCAGGCGGCTGGGGTCTTGGGACGGGTCCTCAAGCCACCGCTAGTGGCTTTTGGTATTCTGGTCCATTCTGATGTGTGTGGCCCAGGTCAGCAGGGCTGTCATCAGAGGTGGGAGAAGGCTGTGCAGGGGAGGGAGTGAGAGGGGACACTTGTCAACAATTAACGGCCTAATTTAAGGGATGCCCCTTGCTGTGTGTGTGACGGGAGGTAATTACGGGGCAGGGGCCTGCGGGGGGGCGGGGGGGCTGGTTCAGCCGTGTGGGCAGCAGGTCCAGGCCGCTGGCCTCACGAGGACGGGGTCTGGCGTGGGCACGGTCCGGCTCTGGGAGGGGGGTGGGTAGCCTGGTGGGACAGGCCCCTCGGTGCACCGCCTCACGGCCTGTATCTGGCCACCCAAGCACCTAGGGTGGGTGGGTCTGGTGGGGAAGGCTTGCCTGCCCTAGAGGCTTCCTGGAGGAAGGGGAGGTCAGCCCTGGCTCCCTGGGGGCCAGTCCCCACCCTCACCTCCCTTTGCTCCCACCCGCCCCACAGGAGCCTGATGCCACGCACCCTGGACGGGCAGATCACCCTGGAGAAGACCCCTAGCTACTTCGTGACTCGGGAGGCCCCCGGCCGCATCCACGGCATGTCCCCGGACACGAAGCTGATCGTGGTGGTGCGGAACCCTGTGACGCGGGCCATCTCCGACTACGCCCAGACGCTCTCCAAGACCCCGGGCCTGCCCAGTTTCCGTGCCCTGGCCTTCCGCCACGGCCTGGGCCCCGTGGACACGGCCTGGAGCGCCGTACGCATCGGCCTGTACGCCCAGCACCTGACCAACTGGCTGCGGCTCTTTCCCCTGTCCCGCTTCCTATTCGTCAGCGGGGAGCGCCTGGTCAGCGACCCGGCCGGGGAGGTGGGCCGCGTGCAGGACTTCCTGGGCCTCAAACGCGTAGTCACGGACAAGCACTTCTACTTCAACGCCACCAAGGGCTTCCCCTGCCTCAAGAAAGCCCAGGGGGGCAGCCGCCCCCGCTGCCTGGGCAAGTCCAAGGGCCGGCCCCACCCCCGCGTGCCCGAGGCTGTGGTCCGGCGCCTGCGGGACTTCTACCGGCCCTTCAACCGCAGGTTTTACCAGATGACCGGCCAGGACTTTGGCTGGGACTGAGGAGGACGGGCCAGCCCGTGCCCGGCCCGGGGACCCTCGCTCACCTTAATTTATGCCGGCCGCCGGGCCGTGGAGCCTGCAGACAGATGATGGGTAGGGAAAAGTATTTAAGGAATAAAGCCTGGGTCTGTGTTCTTCCACATAATCTGGAAGGTGGCCAGACGGGGAGCTGGCGGTGCCACCGCCCAGGGAAACGCTAACCATACCACCTGTCTCTACAGGGCACCGTTCGTATGCCCGGAGTGGTCCAAAACCCAATCCGTAGACATCCCTTGGGGTGTGCAGTGAGCTTGGCCACATGTCACACATGAGCAACTGAGGCTCAGAGAGGTTTAGGGCCTGCCCAGTGACGCACAGCTCAGACTCTGGAGGCCCTCCTGTGCGCCCTGGGATGCTGACCTATGCTGGAATGTTGTCCCCGTGCGGCAGATGAGGAAACTGAGGCTCCAGGTTGCCCACGTGAGGGCTGGGGGGGGGGGGATGAAAGTTGGATCTGGCCAACTCAGGGCTGCACCCATGACTGCGGCTGATTTCGTGTCTTCGTGCCCGTTGGATGCTCCCTCCTGGGAATCTGGTGAGGTTGCGTTACACGGAGTGTGACGTGAGGAGCAGCAGCGGGGTATTGGTTTTAAGCGTCCCCAAGCCCCTGGGGACAGTGTGGCACCACCCACCACAGGCCACACCCATGCTGCCACTCCCACCCTCCAGACCCTGCCCGCTTGGGGGGGACTTGCCCTCTCAGTGGGTTCCACCCACTCCCCCAGGCCCTGGATGCCCCAGTTCTGCTGTGTTCCAGGAAGGGCTCCCACCCTTGGGGGATGGGCAGAGGTGAATGCCCATCTGGGGCCCAGCTGCCTGCTCAGATCCTGACTTAGGCCAGGCTCGGGTGGGCTAGGCTGCCCTATCCACCCCTCTGCCCCTGGGAAGGTGGGACCCCCTTCCTAATGACTGTCACCTGCTCCTGGCCACAGGAGGTGTTGCTTGCCAGGTGCCCACAAACAGCCCTGACAATGACCTCCGGGGACCCTTGGAACCAAGCCTGGCATGCCCCGGCTGTGCTGGGTCCTCACAGGACCTGGCTGCGTCCTCTGCACCCCAGGCCTTGGGTCCATATCAAATCTTCAGCCCTGCTGTGGCCTTTCCAGCTCTGGGCTAGTTGGAGTAGCTGCCCGTCCTGGGCCCCGGGGTGGAAATGAGGGAGGATTTCCAGGGGAGTGACCGCTTACCTTCCAGGCACCTTTTCTGGCTAACCGTGAGCCAGCGGGCCCAGCAGTCACGGTGGCTACTGTCTTTGTCACATGACCTTACCAGTGGTAGACACCTGGGGTCACCTGATTGTGAGAAGAGGCTCGACAGGAAGTGGGGAGGGAGTTGGGGGCATCTCTCCTCAGCGGCCCGGAGCCTGCCCCTCGCTCCTGCTGGTTCTGGGCCCAGAGGACACTCCTGTCTGGATTGTCCTGAGGGGCCAGCACTGTCAGGAAGCTCTGCCATCGGGGCCAGGCCAGAGGCAGGACCGGGGGCCGGTCCTGAGACACCCTGGCGGAGATGCGGTGGCAGATGTGGGCGGGTGCGGCTGAGACACAACTGCAGGCCCCTCCCCCGCCTGGGTGTCTGCCGTGGGAGGAGGGGAGGGCTGGCCCAACGTGCAATAACGGTGACGAGGCAGGGGCCCCCGGGCCCCGCCGGATGGCAAGGCCTGGGCTTGGCGTCTCTGTCCCCATTCCCGGTGCTGGGGCCCCACTTAGCGACCGTGTGGCAGCCCGCCCTGGGTGTCAGGGCGGGAGGGCAGGCAGGTCCCAGCCTGGGCCATGCCCACTGCTTCCCTCTTCCCGGACACACCCTTGTCCAGACTTTTAGCAGCTCCGGCCCTCTGCGGCCTGCCCCCACCCCTAGCCGGCATGCCACCCTCACCCCTACGCTCTTGCCCCCACAGCTCCCTCCACCTGTCTCGATCTGCGTAGCCTTTGTACACGCTGTTCCCTCTGCCTGAAATGCCTTTCAGGCACAGAAGGTGCGGGCTGAGAGGGGACAGCCTAGGAGTGCGGAGGCTGTTCCCTCACACCAGTCTCCTTTCCTCCCTACAGTTAGAGCCCCTTTCCTGAGCCCACTGACATGACCCACTTTTCCCTTCCGGAAGCTTCTTGGAAGCAGAGCTGTGGGAGCCACCAGTTTGTCTGGCTCTGGTGCCCAGAAGGCAGGCTGGAAACAGTGTGGAGAAAGGGTGAGCTGGCTGGTCCCAGTCCTCCCCCATCCCCCTCCCAGGGGAAACTGGGCCCGACTGCCCGCCAGCGCCCAGAGCCAGGTGCCCAGCTGGGCCTCAGAACACACTGAGGGCAGATGCGGTGGGTCTTCCCGGCTGTGTGTGGGGGTGGGTCTCCGTGGGAGAGTCATCGGCCTTTAATTAAAGTCCCTAAATTGTTTCCCCAGCTGCTCAGTGGGTTTTCCATGTTGGAATGTTCCAGATGGAGCACAAAGTGCCGATCCAATTACCTTCTTCCTGTTCTGCTCAGTGGGGGAGAAAAGGCTGGGGACCCCTTCTCCGTTCCTCACAAGCCAGCCAGACTGGGATGAGATGGGTGGGGGTGGGTTCACAGCCTTGGGTGTCCAGGAAGGGGCCTGGAGACACCTGGGGAGGGGGCGGCTTCTACCGCACCTGCCTCAGACCTTCAGGCCATGGTTGGTACAGGCTGGGGGCCCACGGGGTCCTTGCTCCCTGACCCCCAGGACAGGCAGGTGCATCTGGGTGAGGACGGGGTTCTTTACCCTGAGCCTTACACACGTGGGCCCTGGAGATCCTGAGCAGACCCTGCCCTGAGTGGCCTCTGTGCCAGGCTGGAGACAGGAGGGTCGGGACTCGGATCTGCCCTCCCTGTTGGGAGCCAGTGGCCATCCATGGGACCTGGCCGCCTCCCTCCCCTGGAGCCCCTGGAGCTCCTGGAGGAGGCTCCGCAGCCTGGCGACCCCCGGACCCCATCTGCAGCCACCTGCGGACTCTTGTCCTCCTGTGAGGGGGTACCTCTCTCCAGGGCTGGGGGGTCTGGTGGGCTGACCTTGCTGGCTCCCCTCTCAGGCTCCTAAGAATGGCTGCAGGACCAGGTGTGGAAGGGGAGGCTGGGCCCTGGGGAAAAGTCTGGAAAGAGAGGTACTGTTCTGGGCAGCACCTGTGAGCCCCCTTCACCCCAGGAGGAGCGGTGCTTTGGGGAAGGGCCTGGTCCACCTGGAGCTCATGGCTGGTCTCCGTGTCCCAGGGTGGACACCTCTGGCACCTGTCCCCTCGGCCAGATCCAGAGGCCCTTCCTGAAGTTTAGTCGGCCCCGCTCCTGGGAAGCTCCCCATTCCTCTTAAGAAGCCGCTGGGCTGCGGTGTCCAAACAGCTCCTCCTGCATCTGCACCGGGAGGGGCTAGGAAGACCAGGCAGACCCTCGGTGCTCTCCTCTGGTGGCCGTGGCAGCAGCCTCCGGGACCCCGGGACCCCTCTGGGCCTTCGGATGCTGCGCAGCAAGGGGCTGGCAATTTGCTGACATCATGAACCCAGTGGTTCATTTCTGTGGGACTCTCCCTTTCTAGAAGTTTTCTCTTAAATTGGCAAGGGCTGACTCCCGAAGTCTCCTTGGGGGCAAAGGCCCAGGCCAGGGGGTGCGCTGGGGGCTGTGGGAAGCTGGGATGGAGGGACCGGGAAGGAGTCAGCTGTGGCCTCAGGATCCGGTGCCTCCGTGGGCCCGCCTCGGCCCTTTGAACCGCAGGACCAGTGGATCACTCGCATGGCCGTGGCCGTGGCAGGGGCCTCGCCCTCCCTCCTGTGGGAAGCCGCCACCTCCTGCGGCCCGCAGCCCTCAGGCTCCTCCCCGGGGCTCTCTGGTTCTGAACTGAGGCTTTCTCTATTTCCTTCGTGTCTGTCTTACTTGTGCTCTCGGAGGAGGGTGACCACCCTCCACGGGGCCGGAGAAGCACAGCACTAACCACGCAGGCAGCAGGATGCATGGATGAGGGGATAGGGCAGGGAGTGACAAGGACAGCCGTGGGAAATGACCTGCACCCTGCAGGAGGCCACACGCCAGGGCCGGGGGCCGCGCGGCCCTCCTGGCCCGCAGGAGCCAAAGGATGGAAGCAACGCAGGTGACCATCAACAGACAAATCGATAAACGAAACGTGCTCTGTCCCTGCAACGGACTCTCCTTCCGCCACGAGACGGGTAGAAGTCCTGATACACACCGTAGGGTGAACGAATCTTGGAAACATCCGGGTAAGGAGAGCAGCCAGACACAAAAGGTCACCGATCGTATGGTTGCATTGATGTGAAATGTCCAGAACGGGAAAATCCATATAGACCCAAAGCCGAGTGTGGTGGTGGCCGGGGGGCTGGGGGAGGGGCTTGCGGGGGGGGGGGGCGGGGGAGGGTGCGTGTTTAATGGGCATGGAGTGTCCTTTTGGCGGGGGATAAACATGTTTGGGAACTAGGTCGAGGGGGCGGTCACACAACACTGTGAGAGCACTAAATGCCACAGACTCGTTCACTTTAACACGGAATTTCCTTCAACGTGAATTTCATCTCCCTTTTGTTTTTAAAGTTACACATCTCTTTATTGTGAGACTTCTCCGTTTTTTGTTTTTTTTTAATACTTATTTTTTGGGAGAGCGAAAGCAGGGGACGTCAGAGAGAGGGGGACAGAGGATCTGAAACAGGCTCTGTGCTGACAGCAGGGAGCCAGACCGGGACTTGAACCCATGAACCGTGAGCTCATGACCTGAGACAAAGTCAGACGCTTGACTGACTGAGCCACCCAGGTGCCCCTCGTCTCAATTTTTTTTAAAAAAGGACTTCTGTAGGGGCATCTGGGTGGTTCAGTCAGTTAAGCGTCTGACTCTTGGTTCGGGCTCAGGTCATGATCTCACGGTTTCGTGAGTTCGAGCCCCGTGTCGGGCTCTGTGCTGGTGGAGTGGAACCTGCTTGGGACTCTCTCTCTCTCTCTCTCTCTCTACCCCCCTGCCCCTCCCCTACTCATGCTGTCTCTCTCAAAAGTATACAAATGTTAAAAATTAAAAAAAAAAAAAAACAAAAAAACGACTTCCATAGAAAACTCTGACATATGGGGATGGGTTATTAACTCCCCAAAGGCACGAAGGATCCATTGAGAAGTGCCCACC